CCCCCCCCCCCCCCCCCATTAGCAGCTGTTTATTCCAGACCAATATATGTCTGAACTCCTAAGAGAACAATCTGTATGTGTATGTTTTTCTGTTTCTGAACATGCTAACATACTGTGTAAAGCTAATAGGTCTAAAGAAATTTCAGAAGTAAGCAAACTGGCTAATGTTATCAAAAGCTCGGTAATGCTAGGACTGTTAGCAAATATTGCTAATGTTAACTCGTAGACACAAAACCTTTAACTTTACTGTTTGCAATATTAACAGTTTAATTTGCTAGAGGAAAAATGTGTTATTTCCTCTTTAGAAAAACTGGCTTGTTTTAATTTGATGAATCCAGTTGGGGGGAAATTATTAAAAGAAAAAACAAATCTGAATCAAGACTCTTTCTGTGAACCTCCAAAATGGCCGCTAGGGTATTTGTTTTCAAGGTAAATTTAAAGCACTCTATCGGTATCCTAACTGTGGTCTTTGTGCCGTCTGCTGTGGCAACTCCAACTGGCTCTCTACCCCTTTAGTGTACAGTAGATTGTAAAATTTTATGTCTGAATGTATCGTTGAGCTGGTGGAAACACCTCAGAAACAATGTGCAAATGGTTTTGACAAGAGTGAAATAATATTGGAGCTTTACCACACTAAGTCGTGGTATCTATTTATCTTCATAATCTTGAATGTGTATATTATGTATATAGAGTTTAACTAAAGAAAAAAAATCTATTGGATATACATAGAGTACTTAGATTTAAAATATGTTGCGATGATATTCCTCTGTGAAGACTTTGGCTACCGATTTTTTTAAAGAGGGGGTGGGGGCGTTTTGGGAAATACAGTTTATGTTATTCTTTTCTCCCTCACAGTGACTATATGGGGAAAAAATTATCTTTGTCTATTTTACTATAGAAATCTCTTTGCCTTGTTGACACACTTTACCTAATGGCATATGCAATAGTGACATGAATAAAATCTAGTTTACAACTGTGGAACCAAATGTAATGTTGCATTGATTTCTTTTTCTTTATTGTGATGAGCAGGAGCTGCTTAGCTCCTTGTACATTTCTCTTTCTGCCAAGTGTTTTTGTTTTTCCATGGCTGGGAACTCTGTTCGCGACATGTCTAAATGCGCTTTCTCCATTTCTGTGTCCATAGACAGATTTTTCTTTATCCACTCATCTTTGATTCACTCAGTTTGAATGTGTTGTCTTCCAGTGTACATAATTCAATATACTGTTTATTGTGATGCACACAAGAGATGATTATAATGATTTATAAATTTTGGTAGTCGAGTATTGCTTTTGTCTGTATTAATTATGAATAGCAAACCTAAGGAAATAAATGAATTTATTTAAAGAGCTACTGTTTTTGTCCTTATTTTTTCATTACCATAAGTTGTATTTCTTGCAAACTACATCATAACGATAATTACTAATTTCTTTCTTTGTTTCATATGTTTAATACATAATACATAACATGCATCAGTATGAAGCCAAACTGCACGGCAATATCTGTTTACATCTACAGTTTGCTAGCTAACAAGCTGATAATAAAACCAAGACAGGCTGCAGCAGCAAAATCTAGAACTGATCCAGAAAGAAGTGTCTGTTTGATTGCTTATGATTTGTAAGAACAACATTACACCCACACTCACAACAGTACTTTTTAAGGCACGGTATTCTCAGTTTAATTTAGAAAATATCCCTGTCTATATGAAAACACAAACATCAAGTCCTGTCAAAGTCATGCCAAAGAAACAAGTTGTGATATAACCCCAACCATATAGAAAAACTGGCCAATAAGATGACACACAATCTGACTAAAAACCAAATAAAAGTACACAGCTTTGATGCTGCAAGACAAAATCTTATTTTCCTTTTCCACAAGTAAAAACACAAACCGAGCTTCCGAAAAAGCAGTTTTTAAAAGCTCTACTTGCAGCGACCTAAAATGCTGTTTACATGTGGATGAAAGGCCAAAATGGAGAGTAAATATAACTATGTAGGTATGGACAATGCCAAAGAATGTTTTTTGCTGCTATTTTACACAGTGCATTATTTATCTAAGTTAAGTTCAAATGTGCAAAACTATGTTAAATATACCTGCAAATATGTGTCATTAAAGTGACCGAATTCATATAATAACTATGCTTTTATTAGATATTTTATTTTAAGGGAAAAGGAAGGAAGGTTTATAGATCCTAAGAAACATCTTTAACAGCTCTAAATGAAAGCGTAACTTTAAATGAAGAAATTAATGAGATAAAAGAAGAAGAAAGAAACACTGGGGATATCATCGTATATTTGGCACTTTGTCAAACAGCTCCCTGACTGTGTGTGAAGAGAGGAGGATATCCTTTCTCTGTCCTGTGGAGAGTGAAGAGCTGGAGTCTCCAGCCAGAACTTTCTCTCTGTGTTTTTATTTCAGGCTGAGGCAGAAGCAGGAAGCTCATACTGAGCCAATGACTTCCTGCCAAGCCAACTGGATCCAGAAAAGACTGTGTAGTCAGAGCTGGAAGGTCAGGAGGTTCAACACGAGAGTGGTGTCAATTTGCATTCTTGCTCTCCACATGATAAGAAATAATTTCCTGAAATGTCTATTCTTTCAAACTTGAATCCATTCATTTTTAAAGATTTCATTCAAAAGAAATTGCCCCAGTGGAGTTGCTACACTAAAATATATTAGCAATAGTATATTTGTATAGCTTTCCTGTAGCCACGACAATACATTTAGTGGGTGTGCTGAGGGTGATCTCATTAGTCCACCACTGAAAATGCCTTTCATTAAAACTGATTACATCTGGACTACACTGATATTCCAATAAGAATCTAGTTTCAGACAGGCACCTTAGGTCTCACAGTGTAATTAAAATGCATCTGTGACCCTTTAATAATCAATCAGCATTGCTTTCTAAGTTTCCAAGTCTCCCATGTAGACACAAAAATGAGCACACACACAAGCAGCCACTGAGGACTCACCTCTAGCTGGTGTGTATTAATTAGCAGTATGACACTGTCATCGGGGGCTCTGCACTGCTGCCAGAAAGAAACCAGCCTTACATAAGACCCCTCTAGCAAGCCACCAGCAGGAACACAGTGTTCCTCACCCCTCTCCACACTGACTGTCTGAAACTGAATTTTTATTTTTTTTAAATCAGCATCATTCCTTTCCCTTTCCTTTAAAAATCTTTCTATGGGCATTTCTGATCCAAAGGCAAACCACAGGAGAAGGAAAGAAAAGCAGCAGGTTTTTGCTCTGCAGCGCTTCTGTCATTGTGCTCCTCAACAAAGGGGACTAAACAGTTTCCTAAACAGAGTGGATTTCTCAAGCCTGTGCTACAACAGCTAAGGCTTCCTAAATACAGTTTACAGGATGCTGCTCTCAAACACACACACACACACACACACACACACACACACACACACACACACACACACACACACACACCGTGTTTTCATATCTTTGTAGGGACATCTAATTGACATAAGG